TGGGAGCATGGAATTGTCCAAAATGTTTTGGTATCCTGAAGCATTCAAAGTTCCTTTCACTGGAACTAAGGGGCCAAGCCCAGCTCCTGAAAAACAACCCCACACCATAATTCGAGTCTGGGTTTGGAGGTTGCCAGGAGAACGGTACATTTCAGACTGCATTGTGCCGACTGTGAAATTTGGTGGAGGAGGAATTATGGTGTGGGGTTGCTTTTCAGGAGCTGGGCTTGGCCCCTTAGCCCCTTAGATGGCACTTCAGTTCATAGTATGAGTCAAGGCAGGTGAACGAATACTTTTGGTAATATAGTGCATCACTCTTCTTTTATGGGTAAACCTAGGGGTGTGGAAATACTTTTACACGAATACAAGTCAATCAGCTTAATAGAATTCAAGACAAAGACAGACACTATGTAACTGTACAAGGAACTTAAGGTAACACACCTGTAATACTAGCAAATATTTATGAATATATTTTCGCTTCTTCCTGACCTTGACACCACAATTACATACACGGGGAGAAGGGGGGTTTAGTACCTCTCAGGCAACTATGGCGGCTCAACACAAGACTTTTGGCAGATAAAGAATTTTATCTAAATGACTTTTTTTTTTTGCGACAAACAGCTTCTCTGACATAAATGAAACCCTGCTATGTGAATCATTTGAAGCATTCATAAGCAATAGCTGGCTTGCCAAACTGTTTCCAGGAACCAGTGAAAACTGCCCCAGGTGTAAATGTAACCCAGACACCCTTAGTCATGCACTTTGTCTGGAGAATAAAGTGGAGGAAAACACTGCGGTGTATCCATACCTATGACACATGGCAAGCTCCTCCTCTGTTGCAAGGCGAACTGGGATGCGCTTGCAGCGATCAACCAGTCCAAGCTTCTGATGTTTGGAGAATATCTTGAAGATTCTCTGTGGCTGCTCCGGATGATGTCTAATCACAAAAGCAGTTTTGAATAATACAAAATAAAGTCACATTCTTAACAATTAATAAATAACGATGCCCAGAAACTTACTTGTCCCACATGTTCAGGTGCTCCATCATACGCTCGTCATAAACCAGGCCTGTCGTTGTAGTAAC